TTCCAAACAGCATACAAGAGTCTCATGTTTTCCAAACAGCAGAGAAGAATCTCATATTTCCAAGGTCAGCTATGGAAATATGTCAATGGCTGCACCTAGACTGGGTAATACTTCAAGGTCATGAGCTGTGTGACCCCAAACCCACTAATCAAAAAGTATTAGCAAACCCCTTTCAGATAACCTGTACCCTTTCAATCATAGAAAGTATGAGGAATTATGTAAGAAACTTTTGGCATGGTAAAAAAAAAAAACAAAAGAAAAATCAGAAGCTTGAGAAATACGGATCAGCAAATTAAGAAGAAAGAGTTCAGCCTTAACAGGAGGAATATATTGTGCCAGGAAAAAGAAACTTTCCAACACACACATGTACCCAAATTAATATCAGTAGGAGTCCCTCTAACATCCAAATCAAGGCAGAGTGGTCAGAAGAATTAGAACAAGAGCAAATTTGGGAGGTAGAGAGTAGATTAATTAACAAGCCCAAATTTTCTATCATCTCTGCCATCTGAGAATGGATATTAGGAAAAAATGCAAGCTGTCCCAAAAGGTGTGCTAGAAGGGCAATTTGAAAGCAGAGACAATACATTACCAGTTCCTGAAATACTGGCAAAATAGGCTTATTATATCCTTTTCACTCACCAGGCTGACTGATCACTGTTAGGAATGGAAATAAAATCTTGTAACTCCACTGAGTTTGACTTCATTGAAAATGGAGTCCCTCTAGCATGAAAAGGTGATGATATTGCAAAGGCCTTTCTACTCTCTAACGGTGTAACACATGAAAGTAGTCTTCTGCTTTCCAGAAATCCATGTGGCTGTAAATTGCATTAGCCAAACTAATCTTTGAGAGTCTGCTCATATCCTCCTAGTTGCAATTAGACTTTTCTGCAGAGCTCTGAGGGTTTGCCAAGTTATTGAAACTTTTTCAGACACATTTTGATGCTTTTCTTCTCACAATAGCTTCCAAATCCACCCCTACCATCTTTTTGAATTACTGTCTTAGTGTACTCCCTGACCATCTCCATTTTTTTCCTTTAGTATCAGAACTTACTGGTTTATCCTAATGGAGCTTCTTTCCCCACATATCCTTAGATTATTCCTATTGGCTTCCACAGCCCAGGGTAGTAGATTGATTGAAAAATGTCTCCAATTTTCCACCCTTCATTGTATCCATGCTCTTAGCCATGTGACTTCGCAACTCCAATAGAAAGGAGACATCTATTTCCCCCCACCCTTGGATCTGGGTTGGCCTTGTGTCATTCTTTGGACAATGAATGCAGAGCAAGTGATGGTGTGCCTGTTCTTTCCCTATGTCTTAAGAGAACTTTTACACTTCTACTCTTTTTCTGGGAACCCTGCCACTCCATGAGACCAAGTCTAGACAAATCTGTGAGAGGATAAAAGACACATGACCCAGTCACCTGCCTTGCCTCAGCCAGTGCCTAACCAACACCCAGCTAACCACCCAGCCCCTAGCTGATCCACCTGCTAACTGTAAATAAATAAATGAGCCCAGCCAAGATCAACAGTATTCCACCCAGATGAGCAGACTGATAGACTCGTAAGTAATAAATGCGTATTTTTCTAAGTCATTGATCTTGGAGTAGTTTGCTACCCAGCAAAAGCTGATACAGCCAGCATTTCAAAGGCTTTTTACTAAAGACAGTGCACCCAATTAGATAGCAGGTTCTTTATGCTCTTATTATATAAGTTTGATAAATGGCTGCACTCAATAGGTGAAATTTCTTTTAGTTTACTACTTTATAAATTCTTCCTTATTTAAGCTACTAACAACTTCCATGAGATGGAAGAAAATGTCCTAGCCTCAGTGTAATCATTTACTTTTACCCCTCCTTTTCTCAAACCCTAATCCACTTAGACTTTGTACATAAAGTTGATTTAATTAATTGGACTTAATAAATGCCACTACCATTTGCTTTGACTGCAAATTCCTAGAACAAAGGAAAATATTGGCTGAACTTGTCTATTAAATGTCATGTTTACAGGTCCTTAGTCCATTTGTTGAATCAAATTGAAATGAATAGTTTTTAAATGCCTAAATTACTCTTCACTACAAGTTGAAAATTCCAAGTATTAATGACTACTTTTACAGCAAAATAATGTATGTAAGAATCAGCTCAAAACACAATGATGAGTGTGTGAGTGTGTTTGTGTATTTACAGTCTGTTTAAAGAGAGCACAGTACATTTAGGGTGTCAATAAAGTGATAAAAGAATCTTAAAATATAATCTGGTGTCATATGCGATCACTGAGAATAGAATGTTTATTGCATGAAAATAAAGATCTATATTTATGTCATATCACAACACAGACTTATGGTGTAAAACCATACTGTATTTTGCCTCCTTGTGCAAAATATTAAGATATTCATTTTGAAAGTCATGTGATAGTTATACTAAACTCACTTATAAATTTTAATGAATCCTTGCTCTTCTGGATTTTATTTTCCTGAAGATGAGTCCTTGTTAGGCAACGTGGTTTCTGCCACAACTATTATTGTAGTGTGAAACTGGCCACAGGCACTATGTACATGAGTGGGTGTGGCCGTGTTCCAATACAAGTTTATTCACAAAACACAGGTGGTGACTGGGAGTTGGTCCACAGGCTGTAGTTTGCTAAACCCTGCTCTAGACTTTTTCGTTACTACGTTTCTTCCACGCTTGCAGATGACAACAAGAGGGATTGAGTGGAAGCCCCAACAGCATCTATAGAACAAAGCAGGTCTGAAAGGAATTACAAGGGCTCTGAAAGCTACAACTAACATCATACTTAATGGTGAAACGGAGCCCTGGTGGCACAGTGGTTAAGATCTCGGCTGCTAACCAAAAATGTTGGCAGTTTGAATCCACCAACCTTTCCTTTGGAAACCCTAAGGGGCAGTTCTACTCTGTCCTACAGGGTTGCTATGAGTCAAAATTAACTCAGTGGCAACAGGTTTTGGTTTTTCTTTTTTAATGGTAAAATACTGAGTGGTTTTTAAGATTAGGAGCAAGGAAAAGACACCATTCTTACCAGTGATAGTCAACATAGTACTAGACGTTCTAGCCATTGCCATAGGGGAAGGGAAAAAAAAAGCATACACATTAGAAAGGAAAAAATAAAATTATCTCTATTTGCAGATGACTGTCTTTGTAAAAAAAACCCAAGGAACCTACCAAAAAACCTACTAGAACTAATAAGCTCAGTACAGTTGCAGTATGTAAGATCAGCAAAAAAATAAATTACTTTTCTATACACTGACAAGTGAAAATAAAAAATGCAATACTATTTACAATTGCTCCAAAGGAAATGAAATAAAGCTAATGAAATATGTCAGGATACATATAATAAAAATTATAAAATGCTGATGAAATAAATCAAAGAAGACTTAAATATTTGGAAAGACATATTGTATTCATAGATTGGAAGACTCAACCTGATAAAGAGGTCAGCTCTCCCCTACTTGATCTATAAGTTTAACAGAATTTCTATCAAAACCTTAGCAAGTTTCTTTGTAGACAGTTTATTCTAAAATCGGAAAGAGAAAGGCCATAGACTAGCCAAAAAACAAATTTTGAAAAAGGAGAATAAAGTGGGAGGAATCACTCCACCCAATGTTAATACTTACTATCTAGCCATGGTACTGAAGAAAGTATGGTACTGGCAGAAGGATGGACACATAAATTAATGGAACTGAATAAACATCCAGAAACAGATCCACACAAATATGTCCAATTAATTTTTGACAAAGGAGCAAAAGCAATTCAGTGGAGGAATAGCCTTTCTAATAAATGGTGCTAGAGCAATTAGACATACACTGGGTCTCGCCAGCTTGTTACAAGTTACGCTTACACATGTAAGCCGGAAAAAAGACCTAGTGAAAAACCTGGGCTTATGGTGCCTAAATGTGGTCCACATGCCATACGTAAAATTGAAGGATGAGTTAGTGACCACACATCATTTGAGCTACAGCTAAACTGCAAGGGTGTTGCTTTTCTTTTGGCCCAAACCTGGAAAAACGTACATCCAAAAGTTAGAATGCAGAGGGAGATAAATGCTCAATCAAAGGTCCCCTTCTTTAAAGCTGCTGCTGCAGGTAGTTTCTAACGGATTTGGCAGGCCACGTGCCCTGGCGTGTGGCACCCTGGGCTAAAACCACTGGAGTTGTGGTTCCCCACTGCTTTCTCGGCCCCTGTGGGATGAGAAGGAGCCCTGGTGGTGTAGTGGTTAAGTGCTCAGCTACTAACCAAAAGGTTAGTGGTTAAAACCCACCAGCTGCTCCAAGATAGAAAGATGTAGCAAGCTGCTTCCATGAAGATTTACAGCCTTGGAAACCCTATGGGCAGTTCTACTCTATCCTACAGGGTTGCTGTGAGTCTGAATCGATTGGATGGCAGTGGGGTGTTTTTTTTTTTTTGGTTTGCTGGGATGAGAAGGAAAAGAGGTGTCTTGCGTGGGGCCTGCGGGAAAAGACTGGTGGAAGAACTGCAGAAAGTCAAGTGCCTGAGCCAAAACAGCAAAACCGCAGAACATCAGCTGCTGGCCCCTGCCAGCCAACACACCAGCCCGCAAAGCCGGGACTGGCTGGACCACCGCTCTTTCCGACTCCAACTCAGCCAGCTGGCCCCTCTCCCAAAGGCCACTATTGCAGCAACACTTTGAACAGGGCACTGAATGATGGAAAACCGGGGCAGTGCTAATGGAGACGTGGTTTGGCTTGGCTCCTGACTCAGACAATTTGGCTCTGGTCAACATTATTCTTAGGAATTCTACTCACTCAGTTCCTAATGGTTAGATAAGATCAAACACATTCCAGAAGTCAGAACTTGGCACTGTAAACCTAGTGAGACTTGAAGCAAAGAAAGCTGGATTTGAGACTCAATGTAACAAGCCATTTAATCTTCTCATACATGTCCCAAACATCCAAAAAGTGATTGGAAGAAATATAAAGACGAACACATGAAAAGTGCCTTCTTAAATAGCCCACACTTATTTTCCAGAGATAAAACTTTATTTGAGGCGTCAAGCAATATACGGAAGAGGTGAGTCATGCACAAGTAATGTCCTTACTTCCATAATTGTACATTTGATTCTCTCTGCCCTCTTTAAGAAAGGGTGCAAAGTGAGCAAAGATGAGAAGCACAGAGGCTTTTATACATAGCCATATCTATCGAGTGCTTAAGAAAGTCTCATTGAAATTTCAGTTTTTCCTTCCTTAAAAGGCAGGTCGGTTTCATTTGGAAAAACTAAAACAAACTAATTATTCCACTGAGAATGACGCTGCTCCCCAGGGTTATTTATGAAATAATGCAGCTGCCTTTTTCTTTGAAAGGATTCTTGTCTTCTGGAATTCCTTTAACCAGCGGATCCTCTCCAGAACGTTCTTCAATATAATTCTTTATTTCTTCAGAACATTTAGACACCTTAAGCAAGAACAGCAAGGAAAAACAAAAGAGAATGAATTAGGTGAGGGCTGTTCAAAGTGTTTACCACCACCCTTAAGTGAAATGGATATAACTGGGAGCAAGAAGCATCTTTATTTTAATGACATAGAATAGAATAAAAGTATTAGAGGACAGCACATGTATAATCTATGTAAAATGTGTATCTTACTACTACTGGTCAAGGTGAAAAAGTTTGAGAGTCACCGCATTATATAGATAATCCCCAGCAATCTCTATCCATTGTGCCTCATATGATTTCCTGCCTCCACTAAAATACAATTATGACGTATCTATACTATTTTAGGAGCCCTGGTGGTGAGTGGTTAAAGTGGTTAAACCGAAAGTTAGTGGTCTGAACCCACCAGCCGCTCTGCAGGAGAAAGATGTGGCAGTCTGCTTCTGTAAAGATTACAGCCTTGGAGACCCTATGGGGAGTTCTTCTCTGTCCTACAGGGTTGCTATGAGTCAGAATCAACTCCACAGCCAACAGGTTTGGGTTTTTTGTTTTTTTTTTTTTTGGAAGCTGGGAGGGTTATACTATTTTGGAGCCCCGGTAGTGCAGTGGTTAAGAGATCGACTGCTAACCAAAAGGTCAGCAGACCCAATCCACCAGGTGCTCCTTGGAAACCCTATCGGACAGTTCTACTCTGTCCTACAGGGTCTCTATGAGTCAGAATCGATTTGACGGCAATGGGTTGGTTTTACACTATTTTAGGAACTAAAATACACCTCCCCTTCCAATTTTCCATGTGAATAAACAGGTGCAGTCATGTTTCAAGGTGTGTCTGGCCAAAATACTCACTTACTATGGGTGTGCACCCTGTTCTGGAATATTACAAAATGATAAACCATTGGAGAAAGCTTGATTCTGGAAAGAGTGGAGGTGCCCAAACTTCCCGCCCTGTGTCTCTGATCAGAATTCCTGCCCTGCTGCGTGCAGGCAATGATCATAGTAAAGGCTTATCTGAGCATTCTTAGGCCTATCTAAGATTCTTGTGTTTATGTAATCAGATTAAACATTTTCTGCAATGGAGAAAGGACTGAATCGAAAAAACGAAACCTGTTGTCATGGAGACAATTTTGATTCATGGCAACTCCATGTACTACAGCACAGAACTGCTCCATAGGGTTGATGAGTTTCTTCAAAAAGTCTGTCTTTAGGAGACAGTGCCAAAATGAGAGAGAAAAGAGGAAAAACAAAGGGGACAAAAAGTTTTAGCGTCTCAGTAAAGGCCTATTATGAGCAGTAAGGAGCCCTGATGGATGGCACAATGGTTAAGAGCTCGGCTGATAACCAAAAGGTCGGCAGTTTGAGTTCACCAGCAACTCCTTGGAAACCCTATGGGGCAGTTCTACTCTGTTCTATAGGGCCGCTATGAGTTGGAATTGACTTGATGGTAACAGGTTTTGTTTGGTTTGGTTTATTCGCAGTAATAAATTAAAAGTAAAAATTACAGAAGCGCCAACAAAATTTAATGGAGACTTCATAAAACAGGGGCATGTGTTCTCACTGAATTTGTCACCTGGATTAGTAATCCCCAAAATTGTTTTAATGGTGATCACTACCATATATTTGTATATGGATCCCAAAATGTATACAATTATTCACTTTTGAATAGTAAGTACACATACTACTGTGTTAATTATAGAAAAAAACCTAGAAATTATAAAAGGATGAAATTTTAAACTAAATAAAAATAGAAATTTTAATATTTTACTCCCACACCTCAAAGGACTGTTTTTTACAAACCAGTGTGGAGGTCACTCATCTAAAATTTAAAACAGGTGATGTAATTTTATGACTTAAAATATGACAAAATAAAATATTTTCAAGCACAGTTCTTTCAGATAAAATGTGCTGTCTAATGTTGCGGACATTCACAGTGTGTGCATTCTAAATAAATTCTCAGAATTAGTGAAGAAAGCATCTATAACCTGGGGTCTGTGGTCAGCCCCAGGGATTCTGCAGGTAAGGTTCACATTGCCCATATTATGTCTGTACTTACAGAGGCTTCATTAGCTTTCCAAAGAGGCCTGTAACCTTCAAAAGTCAATTATTACTCCTATGCTGTATTTCCTTTCATGATCAAAAGGATATACTTGTCCAGTAATTAGCTGGAGGCAGAATTAGCCTGTGAATTCTGTGTTCTTGGTCTAAGCACACCGCTCAGACATTAACCATCTATTGACAGAATCATGGGCCAGGGCATCAGGAGACCTGAGTATCAGTACCTGGCCTATCACTATGTCTGTAGTCTTACATGAGGAGCTAGTCAGTCTCCCTAGGACTTGGGACTTTGTTTAATTCTTAATGTTAGGAAGTTAAATAATCTCTAAAACCTAGTCCTTGCCTAACATTAATACTCTGTAATCCACAGTGCATAATAAAACATGTTTGAATATCGTTATTAGGACTTAGATGTCTCTCCCTCCATCCCCCAAGGGTATCTCTGAGCGTTTTCTTCCCCTCTGGCATACACTTGGGGTTTCCGGAGTTGGAAAGGTGATGCAGCAGGATGTGTCCTAAGGGTGGGGGTGGCTGGCAGGAAGACCATGCTAATGAACATTCTGTTTCACTTCCTCAGATTCAGCTGCACCCAGGCCCCTGCCCAATATCTAATTTGAAATTTAAAATAAGCAGAAGACACTTTTTTTTTCCCCTATACATTCTGCACAAGAATGTCAAATATGAAGATATTCCAACTTTTCAATAATGCAATGCTTTATTTCAGTATAGGCAACATTGTTTAACATGTAACCTGTAAGGTTCATTGTGTGAAAAAATCTAAGTGGCCAATACACTGTGGATTTTGCCATCCATAAAATGGATCCCTTAAGGTTTCAAGAAACAGGCTTATTCATTGGGTCCTTGTAACTTTTTTTTCCCCTTTAAACATCTTGTTATTTTTAAAGCTACAAAGCCCTCAAGACGGATAGAAAGGACAATCCACTCTAAAATCTAGGAAGAGCAAGGACTTGGAAGTAAAAGGTCAAAACTGAGAAAAGAAATGTATAAAAAGTAGAACTCAAAAAAGCCTGCATCTTCAAATCGTCACTCCAAACATACATTCTGATAACGAAACGTTCTCATCACTAAAGAATTTATTGCAATACCTACAGCAGGGAGGCAAGTGGGCGTATTTACAACACTTGCTTCATTTCCATTTTTTCCTTCATTTTTTTTCTAACGCTAAACCACAGAGAAATAAAACTAAAGTTTTTCTTGCTGTGGAGGAAAGATTAGATAATTTCCCTTTAAAAGATAGCTACCCAAAAGTTTCTCCCTAGACTACAGGTTGCCTGATAGAAAAAAAAAGAAAAATTAGTGTCTTAATGAAGACCCCCATTACCAGTAAGAAATTAAAGTAAAAAAGTTACAGAAACTCCAGCAAATTTCAGTGGAGACATATTAATACTGGGGCATATATTCTCACTGAATTTGAAATCTACATCAGTGCTCTCTACACTTTTTTTAATGATAACTAAAAAATATTTTCACAAGCACCTCAGTATATGTATAATTACTTATAAGTACAGACACCATGTCTTAACATATTATGCATACTTATAAAGCATAATTACACCAGAAATTATAAAGAGGTGTCATTTACAAATAAATAACAATAGAAATTCTCACGTTTTGTTCCCAACGCCCAATGGATTGATTGCTCTCAGCACTTCACTTTGTAGACACTGGTGAAATTCAAGACTACTGCAGTTTAAGACTTTCAAATGTAGTTAAAAAGCATTTCAAATACAATTCTTTCAGATAATAAAAAGGATCAAAAAACTAAGTAGCCAACTATCTTCTTCCTACAACTGCGTTTTTATTTATTTATTTATTTTATTGTGGTAATTATATATATAGCAAAACATTTGCCATTTCAGCATATTTTTACCTGCACAATTCAGCGACATTAATTACGTTCGTCATGTACAACCAACACAACTGAGTTTTTAAAACCAGCTATCTAATAGAAGACATGATTTTTTTTTGTCGGTTTTCCCCATTCTTAACTGCTTAAATTTTAGAACATTTGGCTTTAAATTACTTAGCTGATCCCTGCTCTCTCCCTTACCTTCTAAGATTTCTCCAGATCAAATAGAAGTTTCCAGGCAACGCCAAAGCCCTACTTCAAGAGAAGGTGCAGGAGAAAAACTTACTTGTTTTGCTGTAAGCCAAGAGAAGCTGGACTGGGTTCATTTCAAAAAAGAAAAGATTCTAGAACAATCAACTTACCTGTTGTCTCTGCAACTTTACTTCTTTGCGAAGTTGTTCAACTTCCATCTTCAGTTTTTCCTTCTCTGGCAAATCTTCAATGTGAAGGGCAGGCATTTCGCCCTAAGAAATGGGCCCAGCGAGAGCTGGGGAACCCGAGGCGCTGCAAGTACTGCAAACCACAGCCCGTCCCGAAATAACCGCGCTGCCTTCCACCCCTCCCGCCCGGCCGCGCAGGACGTGACTACCGCGCAGCACAGTGATCCCGGGGTCCCCGAGGGCTCAAGCTTCCTGCCGCACGTTTGCTTGCGCCAGCCTTTGCCAGAGTCCTAAGATCTTAAAACCTCTTGTTTTTTTCCTTCAAGTTTCCCCAAGTGGCTCGTTTAGGGTTCAGCTTTCCGCTTTGGGCTCTCCCCGCAGGGATGCTGGCCTGCGCGGCACAGGCCTGGGCTAGGGCTCAAAGGGCTCGGGCTGCTCTAGCCCACTTTCCTGGAGGGACAACAGAAGTTTTACTTCTTGTTCTTTTTTTTTTTTTTTCTTTTCCAAATCAATCACATCCTGGTTTTCTTTGTAAAGCAAGGAAAAGGAGGACACTACCCAACAGGAAATGACGGCTTTTGACCTCTCCAAGAGTTTTAAAAATATGCTGAATATAACTTCTCCCCAGTTACACAGATATTTATTGTAGTAAGTGTGGAAGTTTAAGAATAGGACCAAGAGGAAAATGCGACTCAGCTTTCATCTCAGAGATACCCACCAGTGCCTGTTGACGTGTATCCATTCGGTCTATTGCATATCCGAAAGAGATCTGTACATTCTGGGGAAAAAGGGCGGACTCAGGTTGTGAGTATTGTTTATAACTTGCACAGCCATTTTCTGTCATTTAATAATTGCCTGCACCCTCATTAGCAGAGGTTTTATTCTTTCTTCAGGAGAATGCTTTGTAATGACTGGAGGATGAAAAGATAATAGAAGACAGAAGGCAGAGATCTTCAGGTTCTTACCAGAAAGAACCTCTCCACTCCCCCTTCCCAAAAGGTTCAGGTGACCCCTGACGCCAAAAATTTTGAATTCCTGGTTCAAGCATCTTTCTGGATGTAGGCTGTGAATTTACTTAGTATTGGTTTCTCCGTCTCTGGAAAGCAATATTCATCTAGCTGCCCCTCTGTAAAGCCAGGAAAAGTGCTAGATTTGAAAAATGTTTACTTAACAGTAGTATAAACTTGCCCTTTGGCTATAAGCTAAGACCATGCTAATGATGTTAAAAAGACTAGAAGAAAAATAAAACATGAATGTAAGAACCCTTCCCAGTCAGATATTTCTCTTTCTCTCCAGAGATAACTTCCTGCCTATGGAGTCAAATCCAAGTGAAAAACGCAGGCATTAACTGAATATTTCAGAGTACTTTTCACCTGTGGCAGTGGATTGTCTCCTACTCATGGAGACGCCATGTGTTACAGGGTAGAACTGCTCCATACGGTTTTCTTGGTTGTAATTTTTATGGAAGCAGATTGCCAGGCATTCTTTCCACTGCACTGCTGGCTGGGTTCCAACCCCAACCTTTAGATTGCTAGTAGTGTACAAATTGTTTGCTCACCCAGGGAACTTCGACACCCATAAATCACTCCATATTTTGTAACAAGGAGTTTTAATATTTCATCATTCCTCCGAGGCTCCACCAACTTTTCCAGAATGAATACGTTAAAATGAGAAGATGAACTACTTAATGAGTACTCACAGGTTCTAGTTCCAGCTCTGTCACTGGGCATCACAAGAAAAATAATTTTTCTGGGTGTTGGTTTTCTAATTTGTAAAATGTATGGTAGGGACGGGAGAGAGAAGGATCAGCTAAGATACATTGTGTCTCTAATTGTATTCATTTAACTACATATGATAAATCACTTTCAAAAAGAAACGTGTTTTTAGAAGCTTCTTTTTCGATGTTTGGAATACAGCACATTCCAGGAGCTCCCACAGGCTTGAAGAATTTCGATCGTCTGCCAGAGCTTTCTCTGTTAGGGAAGGAGTATGCCAGGACAAAAATCCACAATCTCTCTCCAGAACTGGTGCCTTTTCATGATTTCTCATTGCTTGAATCAAAAAGTTGGTTAAAAATAGCTTAAATAAATTACTGATAGTAGTTAATTTGAATATGGCCTAAATTAAATTAGTTCAGCATTTGAGTTAAGTTAGTTATGTAAATTAATATGAATATGTCTGTTCCAAATTATATTATACTTATGCAGTGATAAGTATGTATAAATCTGTATTCATTCTTTAATTTTTCCACAGTATTAGGAGATTTAAATCAGAGATGAAATATATTAGTTTACTTTTTTTTTTTTGGTTTTTATTCTTATCAAAGTAATTCACATGCTATACCTTATTAAGTAAATTGATTAAAATGAATTGGGAAATGATGGAATCTCATGACCACACAGCATTCTGAAAAATGTTTCGTTGTTGTTGTTGCTTGGTTTTAAATGTTAAAATGATAGGAGAACTTTTTTTTTTTTTTAAACAGAAGGGTATGTACTCCCTATCCTAAGGCATTGCATTTACCTCACAGGGAACAATCATTTTAAGCAAATTCTTTTATATTTTTTTAATTGTGCTTTAGATGAAGGTTAACAGAGTATATTAGTTTCTCATTAAACAATTAATACACATATTGTTTTGTGACATTGGTTGCCAACCCCACAAATTGTCAACACTCTCCCCTTCTCAACCTTAGTTTCCCCATTACCAGTTTTCTTGTCCTCTCCTGCCTTCTCGTCCTTGCCCCTGGGCTGGTGTGCCCATTTAGTCTCTGTTTTATGGGCCTGTCTAATCTTTGGCTGAAGGATGAACCTCAGGAATGACTTCAGGACTGAATTAAAAGTTGTCTGGGGCCATACTCTTGGGGTTTCCCCAGTCTCTGTCAAACCATAAGTCTTGTCTTTTTTTTGTGATGTGAGTCAGAATTTTGTTCTACGTTTTTCTCCAGCTCTGTCCACTCTGCTGTGATCCCTGTCAGAGCAATCAGTGGTGATAGCCGGGCACCATCTAGTTGTGCTGGACTCAGTCTGGTGGAAGCTGTGGGAGTTGTGGTCCACTAGTCCTTTGAACTAATCTCTCCCTTGTGTCTTTGGTTTTCTTCATTCTCTCTTGCTCCAGATAGGTTGGGACCAGTGGAGTATCTTAGATGGCTGCTCACAAGCTTTTAAGACCCCAGATGCTACTCACCAAAGTAGGATGTACAACATTTGCTTAATAAACTACGGTATACCAGTTGAGCTAGATGTCCCTGGAAACCATGGTCCCCAGTCCTCAGCCCAATAATTTGGTCCATCAGGGAGATTGCATGTGTCTATGAAGCTTCCATAAGCTTGCTTTGGTCAAGTTGTTCTGGCTTCCCCAGTATTGTGTACCATTTTACCCTTCACCAAAGTTACCGCTTATCTATTGTCTATTTAGTATTTTTCCCTCCCCTCCCTTCCCCTGCCTCGTAACTATCAAAGGTTGTTTCTTTCTGTGTGTAAACCTTTTCATGAGTTTTTATAACAGTGGTCTCATACAGTATTTGTCTTTTTGTGATTGACTTATTTTGCTCAGCATAATGCCCTCCAGATTCATCCATGTTGTAAGATGGTTTCCCAGATTAATCATTTTTCTTTATTGTTGTGTAGTCTTCCATTGTGTATGTGTACCATAATTTGTTTATCCACTCATTTGTTGATGGACACTGAGGTTGTTTCCATCTTTTTGCTGTTGTGAATAATGTTGCAGTGAACACGTCTATTAGCGTGACAGCTCTTATTTCTCTAGGATATGTTCCTAGGAGTGGGATTGCGGGATCATATGGTATTTCTATTTCTAGCTTTTTAAGGAAGCACCATATCATTTTCCAAAATGGATTGTACCATTTTGCATCCCCACCAGCAATGCATAAGTGTTCCAGTCTCCGCACAGTCTCTCCAGCATTTGTTATTTTCTTTTTTTCTTTTTATTTGTGCCAGTAGTGTTGGGATGAGATAGTATCTCATTATTGTTTTGATTAGCATTTTTCTAATGGCTAGTGATCGCAAGCATTTCTTCATGTGTCTGTTAGCCACCTGAATGTCTTCTTTGGGGAAGTGTCCGTTCATATCCTTTACTCATTTTCTAATTGGATTGTCTTTTTGTTATAGAGCTGTTGGATTTTCCTATAGATTTTAGAGATTAGACTTTTGTCAGGTTCGTCATAGCCAAAAATCTTTCCCCAGTCTGTAGTTGTTTTTACTCTTTTGGTGAAGTCTTTTGATGAGCATAAGTGTTTAATTTTTAGAAGATCCCAGTTATCTAGCTTATCTTCTGGTGTTTGTGTATTGTTGGTTATGGTTTGTATCCTGTTAATGGGGTGTATTAGGGTCTCTAGCATTGACCCTATTTTTTTCTTCTATGATCTTTATAGTTTTTGGTTTTATTTTTAGGTCTTTGATCCATTTTGAATTAGTTTTTGTGTATGGTGTGAGATATGAGTCCTGTTTCATTTTTTTACAGTTGGACATCCAGTTTTGCCAGCAACATTTGTTAAAAAGACTGTCTTTTCCCCATTCAATGGACTTTGGGCCTTTGTCGAAGATCAAGTGACAGTATGTGGACGGATTTACATCTAGGTTCTCAACTCTGTTTCATTGGTCAATGTGTCTGTCTTTGTACCAGTACCAGGCTGTTTTGACTACCATAGCTGTATAGCAGGTCCGGAGGTCAGGCAGTGCAAGTCCTCCTACTTTAGTCCTCTTCACTAGTGCTTTACTTATCCCAGGCCTCTTTCCTTTCCCTATAAAATTAATGATTAGTTTTTCAATCTTGTTAAAGAATGCTGTTGGTATTTGGATTGGGATTGCATTGTGTTTGCATATTGCTTTGGGTAGAATTGACATTTTCACAATGTTGAGTCTACCTATCCATGAGCATAGTATGTTTTTCCATTTATGTAGGCCTCTTTTGGTTCCTTGCAGTAGTGTTTTGTAGTTTTCTCTGTGTAGGTCTTTTATGTCCCTGGTTAGATTTATTCCTAAGTATTTTATTTTTTAAAATGGTATTGTTTTCCTGATTTCCTTTTCATCATTCTCTTTATTGGTGTATAGGAATCTAACTGATTTTTGTATGTTTATCTTGTATCCTGCTACTCTGCTGAATCTGCTAGTTCCAGTAGTTTTCTCATGGAGTCTTTAGGGTTCTCTAGGTATAGTATCATATCATCCGCAAATAGGGACAGTTTTACTTCTTCCTTACCAATTTCGATGCCCTTTATTTTTTCGATGCCCGTTTTATTTTTTTTTGCCTTACTTTTTTTTTTTTCTTGCCTTACTGCTCTTGCTAGGACTTCCAGCACAGTGTTAAATAGAAGTGGTGATAAAGGGTATCTTTGTCTTGTTCCTGTTCTCAAGGAAACTGTTTTCGGTCTATCTCCATTAAGAATGATACTGGTTTTGTACAAAAAAAGAAAAAACCCAA